CAACAAAATCTTTTTTTTTTTTTTAACAACAACAAAATCTTAAAAGTAGTCAGAGGAAAAGAGGCATAATACATAGAAAGAAGCAATGGCAAAATTATGACTGATTTCTCATCAAAAACAACAGAGACCAGAAGACAGTGGAATATCTTTGAAATGGTAAAGAAGTCACTTAACAAGCTGGAATTCTATACACAGCCAAAATGTGTTTCAAAAATAAAGACAAAATTAACACATCTAACAGATAAATAAAAACAGAGATTATTTTCCACTAGTGAACCCATACCAAAAGATATGATAATGTTCTTCCACTTGAGAACTGATAGCAAATGGAAATTCAGATCTACACAAAAGATAATGAACAGCAGGGGTGCTTGGGTGGTGAAATCAGCTAAGCATCTGAATCTTGGTTTTGGCTCTGGTCCTGATCTCAGTGTTACCAGATGGACCCCCACATCAGGCTCTGTGATCACTGTGAGTCTGCTTGAGATTCTATCTCTCTCTCCCTCTGCTGCTCATGCTCTCTCTCTATCTCAAATAAATAAATAAATCTTTTTTTAAGTGAAAATGGTATATATGTGGTTAAATTTGAACATAAGTTTTCTTTCCTATCTTAACTTCTCTGCAAGTCAGTGGACTACTGAAGGCAGAAATAGTAACAGTACACTGTAGTGTTTATAACAGATGTAAAATATATGACAGCAATAGCATAAAGGACAGGAAGGGATGTAAAAAGAATTATATGTAGAGTGGTATTATATGAATTCAGAATAGATCTGATAAGTTAAGGAAGCATCTTGTAAATCTTAGAGCAACAACTAAAAATAATAATAATACAAAGAGGAATAATTAAAAAGGCAATAGAGGAGAGGGAATGATTTACAAAAACAATACTCAGTTAACCCAAAAGGAGTCAGGGAAGGTAGAACAAAGGAAGAAATAGCAGTGGAGGGCAAAAAAGAAACAAAGAGCAAGATAGTAGACTTCAACTCAACCGTATCCAGAATGATATTAAATATAAATGGATTAAACCCTCCAATTAAAACTCAAAGATTGTCAGGTAGGGTAAAATAGAAGCATTCAAATAGGCTGTTTACAGGGGATGTACCTTAAAGATAAAAAATATTCTGGCAGGTTAAAAGTAAAAGGGTGGACCAAAAAATTAAAAGAAGAGGAAAAGATAAGTAAGCATAAGAAAGTTGGTATGTCTATATATATACAAAGTAAACCTCAAGACAAATTATTGCATATGATGAAAAGGGTCATTTCACAATGACAACAGAATCAATTTCTCAAGAGGATATCATGACGTTAAATATGTATATGCCCAATGATAAAGTTTCAAAAATACATGAAGCAAGAATAGATGGACCCGAAGGGAGAACCAGAAATATCTATAGTCATAATTAGAGATTTGAACACTTCTCTCTCAGCAACTGATGAAGGACTAGATAAAAATTCAGTGAAGACATAGATGATTGGAGCAACACTATCCAACAACTTGACCAAATTGCCTTTTATTAAACACCTACACCAACAATTATAGAATACTTTTCAAGTGTACATGGAACATTCACCAAAATATACTATATGCTGGACTATAAATCAACCTCAGTAAATTTTACCGGAATGAAACCATGGAGAGTATGTTTCCTGATCAAAGCATAATTAAATTAGAAATCAAAAACAAGGGGCGCCTGGGTGGCTCAGTGGGTTGAACCTCTGCCTTAGGCTTAGGTCATGATCTCAGGGTCCTGGGATCGAGCCCCTCATCGGGCTCTCTGCTCAGTGGGGAGCCTGCTTCCCCCTCTCTCTCTGCCTGACTCTCTGCCTACTTGTGATCACTCTCTCCGTCAAATACATAGATAAAATCTTAAAAAAAAAAAAAGAAATCAAAAACAATAAGGAAAAAGAGGTAATACAAGTTACCAACATCAGGAATGAAAGAAAGAACATCACTACCAATTTTACAGGCATTTTAAAAATGTTAAGAGAATATTATATACAAGTGTATGCTAATAAATTCAAAAACTTAGATTAAATGGACAAATTCCTTGGAAAACAACACAACAAAAACAGCACAAGAAGAATTGGAGAGTCTGATTTTCTCTAAATCTACTAAAGGAATTGAATTCATAATTAAAAAGCATCTCACATACGCACACAAACCCCATCACCAAGTCCAGATGGCTTCACATTTAGGACAGGAATGATACCAAGTCTACACAAACTGAGAAAATAGAGAAGGAAACACTTAAATTTTTTATGAAGTTAGCATAACCACAATACCAAAACCTGACCAGGACAGTACAAGGAAAGTAAAATAAATTCATGATCATTCATCAGCACAGATGTAAAATTCCTCCACAAAACATTAGTAGGTCAAAGACAGCAATAGCTAAAGAGGAGAGTAAATCATGACCAAGTGGGGCTTATGCCAGAAATGCAAGGTGGGTTCAGTATCTACAAATCAATCAGTATCATTCACCTTATTAAGGAAATAATGGAGAAAAACCATGGGATCATCTTAGTGGAAACAGGAAATGCACTTGTCAGCACTCAACACCCATTAACAATAAAAGTGCTCAGCAAACTAGAAATAGGAGAAAACTTTCTCAATCTGAGAAAAGCATCTAAGAAAAACACATATGTCTAACGTATTTAATAGTGAAATAATGAACCCTTTCCTCCTACAATCAGGAACAAGTTAAGAATAGCATCTCTCTTCCATTTTTTCCAACGTTACACAATATACAGTTTCTGGCCAATGCACCAAAGTAGAGGGGGAAAAAAAGAAATAGAGACCAGAAGAGAAGAAATAAAATTCAGCAATAAAAAGGCATAAACTACTGAGACAAGGAAGAGCATGAATGAATCTTGAAAACATTCTGCTAAGAAAAAGAAGGCAGACACAGAAGAGTACATGCTGTACGCTTCTATTTATATAAAATCCTAGAGCAGGCGAAACTAATTTATGACAGAAAGCATATTGGTGATGGCCTGAGGGTTGGGAGGAGACTGCAAAGAGGGGATTTCTTGGGGTAAATAGAACTGTTCTGCACCTCGAATAGGATGGTTGTTACCAGCGTGTACACACTTGTAAAAATTTATTAAGTTGCCCATTAAAATTGATGCATTTTATTACATGTAAATGACATCTTAATGAGGGATTTTAAAAGTAGGAAGATTATACACCATTCAGAAAATTAAAAAGGAAGCCACAAACTATAGGAAGTATAGAGACATTATTCTCAGGCCACATATCTGAAAAAGGACTTGTACCCAGAACATATGGAGTCTCTTAGAGTTTAATAATGAAAGTAAAAAGTTAGCAAGTTTCTTTCATGGGCAAAAGACTTGAGAAGACGTGTCACAAAAGATAATATATGAATGGCCTATTAGCACTTAAAATTGTGCTCAAGATCATCAGTCATCAGAGAACTGCAAACAGAAATGACAACAAGATATACCTACACCCCTACAAGAATGTCTAAAATTAGAACTGTGGACGAAATCAATATTAGGCGAGGATGCAAAGTCACTAGAACTCTCACTCGCTCCTGGTGGGAATGAAAGGTAGTTTGACCACTGTGGGTAATAATTTCACAGTTTCCATACAATCATCCCCAGACCTGTCTTATGAATCAGCTATTCTACTCCTAGCCATTTACCTAAAAGAAATTAAAATACCTGTCCAAACACTGAACTGACTTGTACATAAATGTTAATCGGGACTTTTTCATAATCACCCAAAACTTGGAAACAATCCAAGTGCCCATCCTCAGGTGAATGGATGCAGATTGGGGTGTATTTATACATGGAAAATTATTCAGCAATTTAAAAAAAATGAACTAATGCACATGACCATGTGGACAAATCTAAAACATGTTGTTGAGCAAAAGAAGCCAGGCACAAAGAATAGCCCAGTGTAGATTTTCATCTATATGAAGTCTGAGAACAGACAAAGCCAATCTCTATGGTGACAGAATCCATAACAGAGACTGGCTGGGTGGACGGGGGTTGATTGGAAAGGGACAGGAAGGAACTTTCTGGGGTGATTAAAAATGCCTTGGGTCTTGGGTCTTGGGGCACCTGGGTACCTCAGTAGGCTGAGCAGCTGACTCTTGAACTGCTCAGGTCATGATCTCAGGGTCCTGGGATGGAGCCCTGTGTCGGACTCTGCACTCAGCAGGACCTCTTGAGATCTCTCTCTCCCTCTGCCCCTCCCCCATACTCATGTTTCTCTCTCTCTCCCTCATAAATAAATAAAAAATTTTTTTAAATCTTAAGTCTAGATTTAAGTGATAGGTATGCAGGTGTGCACATTTTTCAGAATTTGTCGAACTGTGCTCTGAAAACATATGCATTGTATTGCTCTTTTATTTCTCAATTTTTTTAAAAAAAGATAGGTATAAAGGACTTAGCTTGGGGCTTAACACATAGTAAGGCTCACAGCTATTAGTTTCCCTCATTCTTCACCTTCCCCGTCTCTAGTAGGCATGTACCATAGGCATGACAGCGTTCTATGGTCACTGGACCTCTGAAAATAAAAATGACATTTTCCCCAAAGAAGTCGGTCCCTAGCATGACCCTGGAGAGTAGCTCTAGTCTGGGCCATGGATCAAAAATAACACTGATTGTGTTATTTCTTCCTGGACCCTCCTGCAGGCCCTAAACCTAGGTCTAGAGTCTCAATGTCCCCAGCCAAGAGGGTAGAATTTAGTTGGGTCATTCCAAGGGACTTGAGATGACGAACTCGGAAGTAGAAAGACAAGGGGCATGTGTAAGAGACTTTGAGATCAGCATTTCGGGGAAGGTTACAAGACAGGAAAACTAGGATTGGAGCCCGAAGCTGAAAGCCTCTGAGCTCAGTGGGGTTAGATCGTTATGCAGGAGATGCGCAATAATTGTTTGTTGACTGAATAAGTGAATGAGTGAGATACTGGGGCTGTCCACGCTGAACCTCCAGGGCTGACTGCTGCCCCCACCTTCCTGTCTTGCAGCTCACATACCTGCCCCCACCCTGGGGCGAGTGCCGATCCTCAGAGATGGGACTCGACTTCTTTCCTGTTTACAGTATCACCGCCTGTCGGATTGACTGTGAGACACGCTACATTGTGGAGAACTGTAACTGCCGCATGGTCCACATGCCAGGTCAGTGCCAGGGGGCAGCCTGGGACCTTGTCTGCACTTCGCACCCCAGTGGGAAACACTGGACCCACTCCACGAGGATCCACAGGGATGCTGTTCTAAGAAGGCTAATATTTGGTTCCAAACACTTGGAGGGCAGATGGAAGCATCCAGGCTAGCAACCAAGGCAGCATCCTGGTGTTCAGTAGTGTCCAGATGTTTGAGGAATGTTCCTTCCAGTGCTCAATATGTGTGCTAATTGTCTGCTGCTCTTACCTCCTAGAGTTCAGTGTCCAGGCATCTGAGTGCTTGCAGTGCTTGAATCCTCGTATGGTACCTATTCAAACACCCAGGTGTCTATTGCTTTCATCCAGATGGTTCCCTTCTTGCATCCAAATCTCTAGCACTCTTTCAAATGAGGCAAAAGTCCATCAGCCAGCAAATAAACGTGCATGTGCTGAGATTTCTGTTGTCAGACTAACAAGGCATGTGGCCATCTCATTAGACGATCTCATTAGAGAGGGTCAGCTAATCAGACACAGAAATGCAGAAGGTGAAGGGTGGGAGGGCCAATTCGAGCAGGAAGAGTTTGGTATTGCAGCAGAGAAGAAAGAGTGACAGGCGGGGGGGCAGGGACATTGGCTTCTAATGCAGATTCCTCCATTCACCTGCTGTGCAACCTGACACAAGTTACTCAGCCTCTCTGTTCTCACCTTCATTATCTTAAAACACAATCATTAGTTGTTATGAGGATAAAATTAGGCTAAAATATAAAAGTGCAAAAGTCAGTGGTCATTGTATTAGCACATGGGGAGAGGAAACCAAAAGTACTATTGACTGATGACCTACTATGTGTTGGGAACGTCACTATGATATTTCATGGCCACTATTTCATAGTGGTATCATACTTTTACTTTATATCAGAAACAGTCCATTATCAGTTGTCTTCTGTTATAACCAATGCTGAGAGGAACATGCTTCTAGCCCAATTCTGATTATTTCATCAGTAATCAACAATTTTCCTAGTAATGTAAATGAATAAGTGTTAATCTTTGAAACTGCCTCTGAGGCTCCCAGAAGACAGAGCGAAAGGGGAAACATAACAGTTAAATTGTTACTGTTGGAAAGGAGGAAACATATCAGCTCTCAGCTCTTGAAAAAGGTGTTCATGGACATAGTAAAGAAAGGACATTGTGATAGGTTTAACTTTAGCCCTTGGAAAAACAGAAAAAAATGTGGAGGGGTGTCAGGATTTCTACAAAGAGACCAGAGAGAAGAATGGAGCACTGTTAAGTGTTACCCGCCTGGAGCTCAGCTAGGGGCAGCAGCCAGTGAGGTTCCCCCACTGAGGGGGCCTGAGCCAAAAGCAAGGAGAAGACTTTAATCATTCCACTCATGACTCTGTTACTGACATCTCGGTTACTAGTGTGGAATTAAGGGCAGAGCAAGAGGAGACTTAGAAAGCAGCCCTTGTTGGAAAGAGCCCTGACCTCAGGGTCAGACTGGCCTGGGTTCAAAGCCCACCTCCATTCCTGCTCCTTCTGGTGTCCTGAGAATGCAGGATACTGAAGCCTCAGGTCTCCCACCAGTAAAACAGACACAGTGTGTCCTGTTTCAGGAGGTACCCATGTGAGTAATAGGCAATGATGCTTGCTGGATGTGGCAGGTGCTTTCCACCACCTCCCTGCTTTCAGCCATCAAGGCTTTCTCACCCATCACCCACCTGAGCTGGCTAGACCAGCACAGCAATCTGGGAGAATAGGCAGACTCTATTATTGCCTACCCAAGCTCAGAGAGCAGAGCAGACCCAATCCCCCGGCTCTGGGTACACTGCACCCCAACTGCCCTCAGGGAGCTCTGATCTGTGGTTCCCTTCCATGGAGGTTCCCCTCCAAATGCTTCCTGGGGACGCTGGCCCTCCTGGCCACAGGATGCGCTCCCCTTCCCCAGCCCAGGAGGGAGACATTGCTGCCTGAGTACCTCTCCCTGTGTCTCTTCTTTGCAGGGGATGCCCCTTTCTGTACTCCTGAGCAGCACAAGGAGTGTGCAGAGCCTGCCCTAGGTCAGTACTGGGGGACAAGGGGAAGGGGCTGAGATTGAGACTTCAGAGGCCATCTCGGGGTGGGAGAAATGGGGTAGACTGGGGAATGGAGGAGGAGGAGAGGCTGACCGGGGCGGGCGGGCGGGGCAGGAGACAGGAGAGGGAGGGAGACTGCAGGGACAGGAGAGGAAGGTGGAGAGGAGGGAGGAGAGAAGGGTGGGGAGGAAACAGACTCAGGGATGCAGACAAGCAGATGAGGGCTGACCAGGCACTGGGGGAGAGAATGGGAATAGAGGGGTGTGGATAGAGATGGGTGAGACTCAGGGGAAATGGAGAGCACTGGGGAACGCAGAGGAGGGGACAGAGATGGAGAGAAGATGGACAGTGGGCATCGGGGTGGGCACCGAAGGAGATGGGGGAGAGAGGAGGGGTGGCCAGCGTGTTTATCCCCTTCGTCCTCCTCCCGCTGGTGCTTGTAGGTTGGAGTCACTGCTGGATTCCCCCACTGGAAAACTTTGGGTGTGGGAGACCCCACAAGCCTCAGGTGCGGGAGATTCTACAACCCCAAAGCTAGACCCACTCCACATGCCTGCTCTCTCCAGACCTGGGAAGTGATTTACAATCAAGACAAGCAGAGAGGGAGTTTAAATCATAGGGACTCAATTTCATTCAGCAGCTGCACTTGCTGGAGTTAAGCCGGGATCTCTCTGGACTCCTGTGTCTAGATGCTTCCAGAAGGACGGGGGTTGGGGAGGGTCACTTAGAGAGAGTGGGAGACTTCTGACCTGTATGAAGACATCTCTCTTCGGAGTATAGATTAGAGAAAATCTATAGATTTATAGATCTAGAGTGGGTAACACTGCGATGATCAGAGAGATGGAAGGAGAAAAGTGATGTCTTTAGCCACCCCGTCCTAAGAGGAAGGGGGAAGCTTGAAGGAAAGAAGCGTTCCTAATGCAGGGAGATTGCTTCTAGGGACAGGAATTGGGGATCTTTGCTTGTGCCCTAACCCAGCAGGCAGACGAGGCCGGCTCTGGCTAGGAAGGAGCCATAAAGGGAATACCACAGAGCCCTGAGTTTCAGAGAAAATGGTCTCCCACATTTGCCCTTGGCTGGAGGCCCACTTTATGGGTGAGCACACTGAGGTTAGGAGCAGAGAAGGCGGCTTTGGGAAGCTGAGGGCGCCAGGCCTCCCTGGGAGCCCGTGCTCCAAAAGTGGGGCCTTTTCAACAATTTTTAAAGGGCAATGTAACAATAAAGGAAGTCAAAGGAAAACAGGACCAAGAGAAACATAGAGTGGGCACTACTTTTTATGAGAGCTCCCACTCTCACCAATCTAGAGCTCAAGCCCAGCTCCCCTTCTCTCCGCAGCGCCCCGCCCCTCTCTGACCCCGGAAGGCATATCCTTCCCGGCCCACGGCCCACGTCCCGCAGCCGGGAGACCCGCCCCAACACCTGCCGGAGCCCCTCCCCAACACCCGACTAAGCCCCGCCCCTCTCTCCCCTCCAGGTCTGTTGGCGGAGAAGGACAGTAATTACTGTCTCTGCAGGACACCCTGCAACCTGACCCGCTACAACAAAGAGCTCTCCATGGTGAAGATCCCCAGCAAGACGTCAGCCAAGTACCTCGAGAAGAAATTTAACAAATCAGAAAAATATATCTCGTAAGCGAAGTGGGCATGGTGGGCAGGGGGAGAAAGGAGGGGTCGAGGAGGAACTGGGGGCGATTTGAGGAAGAGGGCAACGGGAAGCAGTCGGCACCCTTTGGCAGACATTAATTGAACTCGGCTGTGGGCCAAGCTCTGTGTTTAGGACTCAGAAAGCAAAGACAAAGATGGTTAAGACGCAGCCCCCTGGCCTTTAAGGAGCCTGAAGGAGTTTTCCAGGGAGGCCTTGCGCATTCCCTTACATCTGCCAGGAACGCTTTTCCTCTCACACTTTACCTAGCTGGTTCCTCATTGTGCAGGTCTCCATCTCAAGGTCATCTCCTCAAACCCCTGAATGAGTGCCCCGCCCTTTATTTTTCTCTCCAAGCACTCTGGTGTTTTCCTTCAGAACACTCGCCCAAGTGTGTAATTCCATATTCGTGTGTGTGTGTGTGTGTGTGTGTGTGTGTGTGTGTGTGTTCCCCCCTAGACTGAAAGCCCCCTGAAGGCAGGAAGAGCCTTTCCTTTGGTTCTGTGCTGGAGAGTGCCTGGCACACAGTTGGCACTCCAAAAATGTCTTCTAACAATAAATGAATGAGGTCCATGGGAGAAGAGGTGTCCCAGGCAGAGGCTGAGCAGAGAGGATCCATGCAGGGCAGACAAGGGGCGGGCCAGAGAGAGCCAGGGCAGGCCATGTGTCACCTTGTAGGCGGAGCTGGCCATGCGATGGGGGACAGGGAGAGATTTTCCCCCAAGACAATAGGGAGCCTCCAAAGAGCTTCGAGTGGATGGGTGACAGCCTCAAATGTGTATTTTCGACCGCTGCCCTGCTTCAGAACTTTCTACACAGATGGAAATATTCTGAGTCTGTGATGTCCCACACGGGAGCCACTAACCACATGTGGCTCTTGAGCGTTTTAAATGCAGCCTGTGTGACTGAGGAGCTGAATTGTAACTTTTTTTTCAATGTGACTTCGTTTAGCAGTTTTAGGAAGATTCCTCAGGCGGCAGGTGTACAGGACAGAAGGGAAGCCAGAAGAAAGGGCGGGAGCCTGGTAGGAGGCAGGTGCCGTTACCCAGGCAGGGGATGGTGAGCCTTACTTTGAGTGGTGCCTCTGGGAGCCCTGCCGGGGAAGGGGGATTTGCATCTCTCTCACCAGCCACTCCCTCCTGCCAGCACTGCTGCCAAAGCCCAGCCTGGGGCAGCTTTGGCTCAGCAAGTTGAGACCAAGGGGCACCAAAGCTGTTGTGACCAGCAATGAAGGAGACGGCCCCGCTGTTGAGCACATGTTCTGCCAGCAGCGATGACTTTTGCTGCCAAGATGTGTGTTGTTAACACACCTGCCTAAAGGAGTAAAAGGGAACCCCCAGCCAGATCTAGATTTGCTCCCTAAAATCCCTCCCTGACCCTGGCAGTTGACTTGGCAGTGCTAGAGTCGGGGCTCCCACTAGGAGAAGCTTGTTATACATCCAAGTAGGAAGACGCCTGGGTGGCACGGTTGGTTAAGCGTCCGACTCTGGGTTTCGGCTCAGGTCGGGATCTCAGGGTTGTGAGATTGAGCCCCGCATCAGGGTCCACACTCAGTGTGGGAGTCTGCTTGAGATTCTCGCTCTCCCTCTCCCTCTGTCCCTCCTGCTCCTTCTCTCTCTCTCTCTCTCTCTCTCTCTCTCTCTAAAATAAATAAATAAATCTTTAAAAAATAATCCAAGTAGGAACTTGGGTTGGGGAGGCTTTCAGGAGTGGGTACGGAGTACCCAGGAGGTCAGTGGGCTGAAGCAAGGCCAAAGAGTGAAGAGCTTGTCCAGAAAGTACTGAGCTCCCCTAGGGGTGAGGAGCCAGGCAGACCCTTAGGGGGCGCAGAGATCTGGATACCAGGCAGGACTCATGGAGAGGACACAAAGAAGGGACAGCTGAGGGACAGAGGGGCACAGAGCTGATACGTGCCTCTGGTCTGTAAAGAGCACTGGGCTGGGGGTCAGGACTCTTGGTTCCAAGGCCAGCTCTGTCACCGCCCAGCTGTGACTTTGGGCCGTTTGTCACACTTTCGTGGGCTCAGCCTCAGCAGCTGTCAAGGGGAAAGCTGTGTCAGGTGGGCCGTGTGGCCCCTGAGGGTTCTCACTGTGTATGGTCCTGAATATTCCCTCTACAGAGAGAACATCCTTGTCCTGGATATATTTTTTGAAGCTCTCAATTACGAGACAATTGAACAGAAGAAGGCATATGAAGTCGCTGCCTTACTTGGTAAGTCAGTGTCCATTGCTCGAATTTTCACAGGTCATGGTGGGGCGTGGGGAGGAGGATGGGCAGCAGGGTAGACAGGCAAGCGGGTAGATAGATACATTTTTGGAAGAGTCTGGCCTTTTCACGTTCTGATTACTCTCTCTGTCCCAGAATGGGAGGGACTCCGGTGTGGTGGGCGCGTATGTCCCAGTTCATGCTCCAATGTAGGCCTCAGTTTCTCCATTGACACAACGAGGCAAGTGAGCTAAAAGGTCTCTTGGGGCCTTTCCAGCGCTGCCCTGTTGGATTCCGTGGTCTTCTGTCCCAAGGTTGGAATGAGCCTCAGGGCCACAGCGGGGGAGAGGGAGTGGTCCAATGGAGCAAAGGCTGCGCTGTGGGCGGTCCCCAGGCAGTGAGGGCCCCAGATGGAGCCCAGCCTGGAAAGCAGCATCACAGCCTGGAGGCCAGATGTTCCCGGTGGACTGAGTCCTTTGTCAAACACAGAAGAAGGGCCACACAACCCCAGATGTCTACAGACCTGACTGCCAGCCCCACACAAGGTCACACCAGCAACCCTGGCCACGTGAGCAAGTAAGGGATGGGGGATGTTCATTTCAATCCCGCCCCGCCCAGGGCAAAACCCACAAGACTCCCGAAGGGGCCAGTTAAAAGATCTGCCTCTGGGGCCCTTCTCCCGACTCCTACTCACTCTCAAGAAAGGACATGATGCTGTCCCTACAAAGAGAATTAGCTGCACTTGGATCTGTGAGCGGGACCCTGGCGGAGGGGGATGGCAGTTGTAGAGGAAAACAGACAGGCACAGGATCAGACCACTGCATACCAACTAGAAGAATGAGAGCACGTGGCCTCTCCTCACTGAACATCAGGTCCCTTCTCTGTAAAATGGGTCTAATAAAAGTACTTGATGATTTTGTTGTGATGGTTAGCTGGGAGAGAGCACCAGCCCACAGACTGTCCATAAAGAATGGTTTCTGGTACCTGGACAGTCACCATGCCAGGCACCCAGGTTCCAGCTGCTTCACATGCCATCAGAGGATCTCTGCACCTCTCCCAGGAGACTGGGGGCTTGGCCACAGCAGACACTCAGCTGGGTTAAGGTGGCTGCCACTTGGGTCTCAGACACTGTTGTGGCCAAAAGGGACTGAACCAAGAGACTAACACTTTGGACTCAAGGTAGAGGTCATGCTCTGGGGATATAGACCCCCTCTCCCTACCTCTGTCACCTTGTCACCTTCATTTCCTAAGGAGAACTCAAGACAAGGTTCTTCCCTCCCCTCCCCAACACAGGCTCACTACTCGCTCTCTCACACACACATACACACACACACACACACACACACTGAGGAGGGTCTGAGTTCTGGATCTGTCAGAAAGGATAGCTTCTCTCTGCATCAGCTACGAGGACAAGCGTGTTCCCAGCGTCTTGTTCCCGCCCAGAATAGCCTGCTGAGAAGATCACGCTGCCATCTGTACCGCCTGTGATGGGAGCTTGCGCTCGCAGACCCTCAGCCATCAGGCCCTTCCCTCAGCACCGTGCAGCCCACCCTCCCCACGCTGGGCACCCTGCACATGCCCTCAGGCCACACAGAGCACACCCCACTCCAAAGCTTACACACACACACACACAAACACACACAAACACACACAGGCCACGTGCGGTAGAGGCACATCTGCACAGACGCACTACGTGATGGCAGACTCAGTCACGTACACCTGTCCATACACGCAGACATGCTCCCACGGCTTCTGCACACTCTCACACGCGATGCCCACCTCCACAACGCCACACTCACACACACTGGGACCTCTCAGCATCCCTACCCTAGACCAAATATCCACCTGCCTAAAGCCATGGACAGCCAGACGTGCTCACACAGAGTGCCCTGATGCATACCCCACACTCGGCCACACCGCATGCGCGTCCAAACACACACCTCACACCTGACAGGTACATGGGTAAGTACACACTCCCCAGGGCATGAGAGAGAGAGCAGGGGGAGAGGAGGGAAGGGAATCATTGGGAGCTCAGCTCCAAGCCCCACTGGGAGGAGCCCCCTCCTCGCCCTCTCTGCCTGCTCACATGGGACTGTGGTTGTCGGCCTGCCCTGCCATAGTCAGGGATGGAGCGGGCAGATGGAGCCAACAGAATGTTCTCAGACCAAGAGCCTGTGGTCTCCAGGAAGACTGGGCACCCATCCTGGCAGCACCCTCCTTTCCCAGCACTCTCCCTGCTTAGCCCAGCAGCTGAGAGTCAGAGTTTCCAGGTGCCAGGACCTCACAGTGGTCTCCTCTCCCCTCCCCTCCAAATGTCCTTTGAAGGCAAAGCTACCGAGAAGGTCAGGGTTTCCAAAATCACACGGCAAGCCAGTGGCAACTCTCCAAACTCAGACCCTCCGAGCCCTCTGCTCTACCACACTGCCTCCAGAGCAAAGCATTGGGACTTTGGGGGGACCAGAACCCCGTAGTGAATCTGAGATAGGGACCCTCCCCCTACAAACACTTAGGTACACACAGGTAACATCTCGTATTCAGTTTTAAAGGGTCTCCGACCATCCACAGCCCCCACAGGGGAGTTGTTCTCAAGCCCTGGTGGGTGAGAGAGCCCTGGGAACTTAAAAAATCCTGACTTCCAAACCCCAGCCCCAAGAGTCTGATTTTATAGACCCGGGGTAGGTCCAGACATCTACACTGAGTACAGGTGTCTCAGGAGGGAGAAGACCCGGAGACCAGTCAAGAAAGACTTTGGTCAGTCAAGAGAGACTGTGCACCCCACAGCAAGAACTCCTACTCTAGAGAAAGACCAGATTGAACATTTACCCTCAGGTGGGAAAGTGAGGGGATGCTTCCTATGACCTTATCCCAAGGGTGAGAGGTGTCCTGAGTTGGTCCTGGAGGCCTTGTCATGATGGGTGAGGGAAAGGGGTCTCTTGGGTCATTGTTCCCAAAACCCCCAACCATGGCACCCAACCCATGAGACTTGGGCTAGACTGCCCTTGCCCCAGGCAAGGACCACACACTTCTTGTCTCTATTCCCAGCCCAGAGCCAAAGAAGGGCCCTCTCCATGTGATTCTGAAGGTAAGTGAATAAGCCTGTTAGCCTGTGAGGTCTACTCCAGGTCCTCCAGTAAGCCCTCAAGTTCATTCTCATCACCACTGGGTGCTGTGCAGTGAGAGAGGGAGTTGTCCAAGGCTTGATCTGTCCCCGGGCCAGGCTCGCCATAGAAGGGGAACTGTTGCAAAGGTCTGGTTTCTGAGTTCGTCTCACCCCTTCCTAAAAGCGCTGTGACTAAAGCCAAAATCTTTGATCTTTTCTCTCTTTCCAGGTGATATTGGTGGTCAGATGGGATTGTTTATTGGTGCTAGTATCCTTACAATACTAGAGCTCTTTGATTATATTTATGAGGTAAGATTGGGGTTGCTCGTGGGGAAGTGACCATATGCTGGGACCCTTGTCCTGCCTGGATGTTCAGAACCAAAGCGTGGGGGAGAGGATGGCCTCTCTCCACCCAGAGCCTGCTTTCTTCTCCCTGTCCATGGAGATTGTCTATCACCAAGTCCTAGGCAGGGAGGAGGGGTGGGCCCAAGAGAGACGGAAGCCGGCTCCTATCCTCAGGTTGCTGTAAGAGCTGTGGGCTGTCTACACTCAAGGGAGGGAGAGGAAGGGTTGAGAAGGAGAAGAGCCAAACCTCAGGCCAGCTCTGAGCCCCTCCCACACAAGGCCAGCTGTTGTGGCTTCATACATGTGTGTGTCTGTGCTCACACACTCACAGCACACGCACACACATGCCCCCCATACACACACACTTCTGCCACACTTACATACATCACCCACAAACACACATGCACACTATACACATACCACTCACACATACACGCTGCAGCCACACAACACACACACCTGCCCTCCGGCTGGCCCGTCACCTGAGTAGTGCGTGTCTGGGTGCAGGCAGGTTTAGAGAAGGGCCATTTCCTGGCGGAGTCCATCAAGCCTGAGCGAGCAAGAAGAGTAAGAGTACGATCCTTCAGCGTCCCCAGGACCACCTGAGTTTTGTGCGGCAAAGGAGCCTGCAGAGGGCTGTCCTTGGCCAAGGCCAAATGGGAACCCCTGTGGGGAAGTGGAGGACCCCTGAGACCAGGGTCCTTGGGAGTGCCACACTCCACCTCCCAGCATGGTGACCTTGTTCCCCAAACCCAAATCAGGCCCTAAGGCCAGATCTTACTCTGCTTTGTTTATTAATTTTTGTGAAATAAAGGCTTTTGCTGTAAAAAGTGATGGAAATTACAACATACCAGGGAACACGTGGAATGCCTACCCTTTATCGCTAAGAATCAAATGTTATGGACTCATGGGTGCCCTGATCTTACAAACGAGTGGGGCTGTCAGGCCTCATCCCTGAGGCCCAGCCTCAGAAACGGGCTCCCGGGCTGCTCACGCACACCCCCACCTGGTCCCCAAGAAAAGACAGTCCTGATGCCAGATGGGGCCCTCCTGTGACCTCTTGCAGGCTCTGGCTCCTACACCAATACCTCACCCAGCCCAGGGAGGTCCCTCTGCCTTCTCTCCCCCATCCCCCAGCCTGACCAACCCCGTCCCAATTCTCTTGCAGCTGATCAAAGAGAAGCTCTTAGACTTGCTTGGCAAAGAAGAGGACGAAGGGAGCCACGATGAGAACGTGGTAAGGGCAGCGCCCATGCTGTTGGTTGCTCGGTCCCCCAGCCTCTGCCGGCCTTATGAGACCAGAGGTCAGGGCCAGGGCGGCAGGAGGGACAGACCTCACTGCACACTTTAACTTGGCTCATCAGGGACACACCCACTGAGCCCCGGGGCTTGATGGTGAGCACTGGATGCAGCGATCCCAGAGATGCTTGCAAGGGGAGGTCCTGCCTGGCCCATTTGGGCTTGTCCCGGACCCAGAGGGCTACTGCTCTCATCTCATGCCTTGGGAGACACAGGGAAGCTCTGCGCCCTTATTCCTCGGGGTAGCAAAACACAAGTAAGGATGTCACTGGTACTAGACTCCCTTTGAAGGGGACAGGGAGCTCGGGACCCCATGAGGTGGGGAGCAGCCGTGATTCCCATCAAAACTGCCAACTACTCGGGGCCAGAGCTGTGTATTTGACGCCCTTGAGGCCCAGAAGCCCCGGGTCCCCTGGCTGGTGAGTGACAGAGCTGGGCGCAGAGCCCCCTGACCACGGCCCACTCTGCCTGCCTTCCCTGGAGCAGTCACAGAGGCAGCACCTTTCAGGGCTGTCCGCTCTCCTTCCCAAACTCAGCCTGCTCCCAGCTCATGCCTGGGACACCCACTAGGTGGCCGCCCTGCCGGCCCTCCCCTCTAGCCCAAAGTCAGCAAATCCCAACTGAGGCCAGCCCCTCCCCCCAGACAGGCCCCCATTTCTGTTCCAGACCCTAGTTCTCCAGCCACCTCCCAGGCGGAAAATCTCTGCCTTGGTTCCCTCGGGCCCCTGCAGCTCTGGTGACCCGAAGATGGCATCTGTGGAGGGGAGGGCAGGCAAAAGGGGCCCAGGCTCTGGGCTCGGGTCCCTGTTTCCCAGCTGCCTGCCTGAGCATCTGCAGACCCACAGGAACCTGGGGGTGGGGGGTCATTGGGATTGAGCGGCCCCTGCCTCTAAAGTGGGCAGCAGTGCCTCCTTTGTAGGACGTGCTCTGCCAGTGGAGGTTCCCTCCCCCTCCCCACCTTCCCTCTGCCCTCAGAATGTCACAGTCACAGCCTCCCTCTGCTGCCTCCCCTTCCCCCAGCCCCATCCTCTCCAAGTCTCCCCCACATTCTTGGCACAGCCTCCTAGGCAGTGTCTGCTCCCATTCCTCCCAGCCTCTAGCCCTCTGCAGCCGGGCAGTCACTGGGAAGACTCAAGGCCCTCCCAGCCCCGCCCTGCTGAGACTGCTTTCTTTTTGGGGCCAGCTGAACCCTAAAGGTCCACTGGGGAGCCGTGACTACTCCGGTTCTGACTTTTGGGGGCCTTCCCACTTCCTACTTGGCCTCAGCCAGTGGAACCCCCTGCCCCAAGCCTAGAGCCCCAGAGGCTCTATCTCCCCCACTCCCAGAACCCCTCCCAGGATTCCTCCTGCCTCAGAGCTAGAGAGCACTCAGAGGTAGCTTTGGGCAGTACCTTAGGGGCACGTCTAGAAGAGAAGTTCAAACCAGCCGCTGAGCCCCGTCACCAGGGAGCCCTCTCCCCACCCTGGGGGCACCTAGGTGGGCAATGGTGAGGACTCTGTGAAGACCCCCGCCCCGCCGGTCTCGTGCCCCACAACAGCACCGCAGCCCCTGAGATGCCTGGGGCAGGAGCAGCAGGGGGAGCCCCGGGAGAGCCCACCAGCAGGGGGGCCTCAGCTCCCAGGGCCTTGGCTGGGCTGCCAGCGGCATCACGACACCATTTACAGGATGAGTTTCAACCCCCGCTGTCCCCTTCCCTCCAGAGCACTTGCGACACGATGCCTAACCACTCTGAAACCATCAGCCACACTGTGAATGTGCCCCTGCAGACGGCCCTGGGGACTTTGGAGGAGATTGCCTGCTGACAGCCCTCGGACCGCCCGGCAACCCCCAAACAGACCTGGAGGCCCAAGACCCAGGACAGGGGACAGCAGGCGCAGGTGGGATGGCCCCTGGTGACAGAAAGAAGAGCCCCCTATGCACACATAGCAAACTCTCTGCCAAAACCTCGCTGCGGCCACGTCTGACGCGACGTGTCCTCGGGCCCCGCCGTGCATCCCTCTTAGGAGAAGTGAGTCACGCTCCGGAACTGTCCGAGAACCCACCTGCCATCACATCTCACTGCCAGATGTACAAAGCACCTGCATGCTGAGACCGCTCACGGCACCACCTCCCCGTCTGTCTCTCTACCTGACTCCTCCACGTGCTCCCCGGTGGCCGCTCTGCGGCCACCCAGCGGGATCAGGTTCTAGCCCCGAAGTCACCACCCCGTAGCCACGCTGGGGTCGCAGCTGCACAGTCGAGAGGGAAAGCGCGGAACTCTCAACCACGTCCGGTCCTTGTGTACTTCGTGAAGGTTCTGAACCTGCCCTCAAACCCCTGCCCTCTCCTGAGCTGGCCCCTGGGCTGACCAGGGCTCCCCACCCCAACCCCCACCCCCCACCCCTGTCCCGTCCCAGCGCCTGGTGGAGGCAGGGTGGCCTGGGCGACTCCAGCACTCATCCATGGGACCCACGTCATTCTGCTGTCCCCGTGACCTAGCTTGTACAGTCCAATTCTGTTTCTTCTTCGGGGGGGCTTGTTTTGTTTGTCTGTCGGAGATCTGTTTTGTTTGGTTTTTACTTTCCGAATTTGGGTTTTGATGTTCTGAGGTTTGGTTTGATTTAGTTTTTCCATTTTCTCTGGCATTTATTTATTCGTGCTTCCAGTCACGGTCATATTAAAAGCTGGTCTTGTGGAAACAGCTGGTTGGTGCTGCCTCGTCCCCCAGGTCTCTCCCCACTCCCTCCCCCGACCAGGCCGGCCAGGTCAGAGCCCACAGATTACATACATGTCAGGTTCCCTGCACCAGCGCCTGCTGTTACAAAGTGTCTAGAGGGAATGCACTTCTAGTCTGTTCTGAATCTTTAAAAACTATTGACTGCAGCCTTGTAAATGACTATTAACACGTCACAGCTTGTGGTCTGAATGGCACTGTTGCGGACCATAGACCTGTGGCTTGAAGAGAGGGAGGCAGAGAACGATGCCTAAACCTAAAAACCATGAACGAAGCCTTCCCACCCCTCTGCTCCTCCATCCTCTGTCTCAACGCCTCTGATCCTGTCAGTGAAATCGAGCTGTCCCACACGGCAGCCTTTCCAGACCCTCTCTCTGTACCCCACCTCCTCACCCCCCATCAGAGGTCACACTGGCTTTCTGCTTGGCTCCGCACAACGGCTGAGGGGATGGTCAAGGGGGAAAGATGGGGGTAGGTGCCTCATGGGGAGAGGGGGTGCCCTTTCAAGCCCCTCCCAACCAAAAGGGGCTTTCTGTCTGGGCAGAATCCTTGCCTTCATGGCATCACGCTGATTCCCCACTTCCCCCATTCAGGGGCTGCCCCCAAAGCCCCGCAGAAAGGCTTCGTGTGGCGTGTGCCTTCTTTTTCACGCACAGGTGCACAGAAAGCACTGGCTGGACCGGGAGTTCGGGGCTCTGGCCCCAGCTCTGCCTCCCGATCTCTCTGCTGATCTCAAACCCCCTCGGTCCTCTGACCCCTCTCCCCTCCCCATCTGCTCACGCAAGAAGACTGGTATTTCCCCAGCCACCAGCTGAAAAGAGCCTGGCACCAGGAGTTAGCAATGCTGTCCCCAGGGCCTTCCCGCAGTAGCTGTGTGACGATGGCCATGTGCTCGTCTCTGGACTCAGCTCCCTCAATTTGAAGATGAAAATAGCGTACCTGTGTCTTCACGCATGATCTCAGGAGGGACCTTCATACTCGAGGCTCATGATAGAACTGCTGTCCCTGCTCAGGGGGACACGTCAAAGCAGCCACACCCAGACCGAGGCAGTGGCCAGGGGGCGGCTGGGACACAGCATCCCTGAGATCCCTCCTCCCAAGCACCCTCTCAGCTGGGCTTGCCCAAGGCTGTCGGCAAAGCCGGGCTTTAATCCTTAGGAGCCAAGTGCAAGGCTGCTGGAAGGCGCCCTGTTTTTGTCCTACTGCGGCTGTAACAAATTACAGCAGATGTAGTGGTTTAAATGCAACTGTGTTGCCTTCGAGTTCTGGAGGTCACAAGGCTGGCGCGGATGTCACTGGGCTACAATTTGTGTCAGCAGGGCTATGCTCCTTCTGGAGGCTCTAGAAGAGAAACCATTTCCTCACCTTTTCAAGCTCCTAAAGGCCACCCACGTTCCGTGGCTGTTGGCCTCTTCTTCTGTCGGCCAACCCAGCAATGGTGGGTGGAGTCCTTACGTCACACAGCCGTGACTTCCTGGGTCACCTCTCCCTCTATCCCAGACCCTCTCCTGCCTCCCTCCTCCACTTTTGAGGGACTCCTATGATTAGACCAGGCCCTCCTGATAACCCGTGATAATGTCCCCATCTCAAGGTCACTAACTTAATCACAAATGTCAAAGTCTCATAGGGTAATGTGTTCACAGGCTCCAGGGATTAGGACGTGGCCATCTTTGGGAGGCATTAGTCTACCTACCAAAGGCCCTTTGGACCATGTAGCCTACTGCCCTCGTTTTCCAAATGAACAGACCCAACAGAGGAGGGGAGGGACTTGCCTAGCATCACACAGTGGGTTAATGGCCTTGCCAAAGCTACACGTACAAGCTCCCAGGCTCATAATTCCATCTCTAGACCCATCAAAATGCACAAAGCAAGATGAACTGAAAGTGATCATTTTTTCCAGACTTTCCCAGGGCGTGGAAGTCCCTCTCCTTAAACAAACACACGCATCACTGCATCAGGCTGGAAAATGTCTTTCCAGTGCCCAGACTGTCAGACGCAGAGGAACAGTGAGTGTCCTCAGACCGCTCCCATCGGGGACAGGAACAAATGAAATGTCTTATTCAGTGAGTTGGGAATCTACGGGAGGCTTCTGTCTTGTTCCAGTTTAACAGTTTCAAAAATGTTTTGAAAATTTATGTCTTAAGATACAATGTGAACTGCTTCATTGGATTTGGGGCTTTCTTTTCAAAAAAGAAAGAAAGAAAAAGAAAGAAAGAAAAGAGAAAGAAAGAAAGAAGGAAGGAAGGAAGGAAGGAAGGAAGGAAGAGAGGGACTTCAGATCAATTTGTAATAGAGCACAGAATATTTTAGAAGGCTGGGATTGCTTCGGGCCTCACATATATACACGCCCCTTCCGATTTGGAGATTCTGGTTTTGTTCATCTTGGAGCAGGTCTACAGACTTAACCTGTTCAAAGGGGAAAAGATAGGAGATTCAAGAGAGCCAATTAATAGCCTACTAACCAGTTGTTAGTAATAGCCTACTAACAAGTCGTTAGTGATAGCCTACTAACCTGTCACTAGTAATAGCCTACTAATAAGTCGTTAGTAATAGCCTACTAACCAGTCACTAATAATAGCCTACTAACAAGTCATTAGTAATAGCCTAACCAGTCACTAGTAATAGCCTACTAACCAGTTGTTAGGAATAGCCTACTAACCAGTCATTAGTAATAACCTACTAACCAGTTGTTAGTAATAGCCTACTAACAAGTCATTAGTAATAGCCTACTAATCAGTTGTTAGATCCTACTAACAGATCGCTACTAACCAGTTGTTAGCCAAAGACAGAGTTGTATGCCTGAATGCTTGGGAGTGTTACGGTGTTTTTTCTTCTCATTTCAAACAAGTAGCCATGGGTGTAATCATTTCCTTAGTGAAGACGTGGAGACGTTTGGTAGACAAAGGAGACTTGGGGATGTGTCATGTTTTCTAGAGAGACCCCCCCCCGCCACCAAAGATGTCAGGAAGACCAGGAATGTGGAGCAGTCACAGACCCAAACCGCAGGTGAAATTATCAGTCATCTCAAAGAACCAGATCAATCGATCAATCAAATAATGGCACATAACCTCAGAAGGAGAATCCGCAGGGCTTGCCACAGTGAGGGGCAGCCAAAGGAAGAAACATTTCCGTGAGCAGCCACGCCAAGGACGGGGCTGGCTCTTTGCACGCTGTTGCTTTGTTGTTTTTGGCGGAGAGAAACTGGAGTGATTTTCTTTTCCTCTTTCCAGCTCGAAGCTATTTTTGTAAGAGTCTTTATCACAAACACGCCTAGCCAGAAAGGTTCACAGAGGGGCTCTGGAGAGCGGTTCTTGGGGAGGTGGGAAGGAGGAAGTTCAGGGGCAGACACCATCCAGGGGTGTGATCTGGGCGGCTACTGTGTTTGCTCAGGGGACACTCAGCTCAGCCTGCCTGAGCCTAGAGGCCCAAGGAGAAACCTGAGACCTCTTCCTCCACAAACTCGGAGATTTTAATTTGATTCTGCGAATTAACCTCGGAGCAGAGGTGAGGATCCCCAGAAAATACCAGTTACAGTATAGAAGCGGCGGCTCCTGGAGGCCACGGAAGCTACCAGCCCTGATCCACTCACAGCCAGGGCAACCCAGCACTGCCTAACAAGTTTCCCGGCCTAGCGGGGAAGGGGAGACACAGGAAGAACACAGGATCACTATTTATTTCAACTCCCATTGATTTGCTGTCCATTATGCACCAGACACTTGCCCCCAAGAAATTTATTATCTGAGCAGGGATGCTGACAAGTAAACAGGTGACTACAAAGATGAACCCAAGTTCAGGGAACGAGAGCACAGCAGAGGCCAGGCTTGTGGGATGGGGAGTGCTAGAGAAGGGATGCCACCATGTAGGTCCAGGGAACCCGAGCAAAGAAGGGAAAGGAGGAAACGTCCAAAATGACCACTTAGGCACAGGCAGGTGCAAAGGATGAGGGGCGGGTCAAGGCTGAAGCCCTCAGCTCCTTCCCCTGCTCTCCGTGTGTCTGTGAAGATACTTCCCAGCCGAGGGTTGATTTATTTAGCAAATGATTCTCTCCCCATTCATTTGAGACTCCTGGCACATGGAATCATTTTGTGCACACATTTGAATATTCCGAGGGCTAATAGGTTGGGCACATTTGGGGCCAGAAAGTCCCTGGGGACCAAGAAAACAGGTCAGTGGGAACCAACCCAGCCTGAGGACAAATGGGAGGAGGGGAGACTCTTACTAATGCAATTTAACATTTGTGGAAATCTGTGCTCACCAACTTTGCAAGAGGGAAGCAACAGTGAAAAAGGCTTTGGACAGAGAGTCAAAGGATTGGCTTTTCAATCCATTTCTGCCATAAACGGACCATATAACACTGGGCAATGTACTTCACTTCTCTGGGCCTCAGTTTCCCCCTCTTTAGAAGAAGAGGAGGTGGAAAACAAACAGATAAGCCTTTGGTGTGCCCCAACTCTAACGGTCTATGAGTGTAAGCTGAGAATGGGGGTCAGGCATCCCAGCAAGTATTTAATGATGCTGGGTTTGGGGGGGTAATTATGAGGATTAAATGAGCTAGGGTAAATACCTTCTCTCTTTTCTTCTTTTCTTTTTTTTTCCCGTAAAACACTGATTGTTCATCTTGTTTGGATTCAAAATAAGGTGAAAGCTATGAGCTCTCTC